TTATAGGTGCCAGCGCTGGCGTGCTATTAGAAAGAGTGTTTGTTTCCCTATTACATCCAGGAATCTCTGTGGTAAACTAAACAAGGATGGAGGTGAGGGTGGATGGCTGCGCTGGTGTTTTCGAAAAGAGATAGCGAAGACATTAGGCAAAAGAAAGAGGGGAATTGAAACGACGCCTGCAGGACAACTGGCCTTTTTTAGAGCAAAGTGCAGCCACCACAAGAGAGGAGGCTGACATTCAAAAGCACACAGCTACTTGTTCCGTTTTATGGCTCTCTTTAGAGCGCTGTGCTTTCAGGATAAATGCACACAGAGATACGGAGAGTGTGTGACTTGTTTCACCGTCTCTAGAGCTCTGGGATAAAATTCTAATTTAAATCTCATTTCTGATGCACAAAGAAAATTAAATGTTTAATAAACTAGGTGTTGCAGTGGTTAGCACTGTTGCAGCGCAGTGAGGAAGTTGTGGGTTCAGACGTGCTGGTTGGCTGGAGGCTTCCTCTGTGGAGTCTGTGTGTTATTCCCACGTCTCTCCACGGCAGGTACAGCTAATGGATGGATGTAAATTATACCCTAAACCATTTCAGGTTTGTTCAATTTAGAAACACAAGCACCCCTACAGCTTTAAAAATGTCAGCTAACTGAATATAGCCTTAATAGTTATGTTAGTGTATGGAAATAAAAAAAACTGCCTGATTTAACAGAATCTGTCCAACACAAGATGTTAAATTGCATTTACTGTGCTCTGAAATGTGTGTTTGACCTGTCGTTGAAGTAAAGTGCTGTTTCGAATACATTTCACTAATATATCTGGGGTTTACTTTTGTGGATGGTAGCAACTTGAAATTACACTTTAAACTGGGACAGCAAAAGTGCAAAAATTAGGTTTACTGCTCCTTTAGCATTGTAGATCTTTTTTATATTGTGTAAAGCAAATTGGAGACATTAGAAACTTTCTGCTAGCTGTTCTTAAAATGAAATGGCAGCAACGCACATGTGAGAGGAATCAAATGATTTACCTACATCTAGTTTATACCAGTGGTATTAAGGTGACTTGCTAACTAAGTTGGATGAACTTAATTCAGTTGTGTGGTACGAATTGAAGCAATTTGTTTAAGTTGGCATGACAAATCTCCTTTTTCAGTGTTTGTAAGAAAACCAGCACAGACTTTCCTTTTACTCAACTTAAGGTGTCGGTTCTTTATGAGACATGAAGAACTATGAATGGCAAACTATTTTATACGCAAGACAACATTCAAGGCTGCTTCCAGTTACTTTGCTTTAAAATAAGCATCCAGGGGTAGGGAGTGGATTCAGTACTAACCTACCTCATGGCAAACACACAGCAGGTTTTCAGTATGAATGGGTTTGAAGAGCTTGATCTCTTGAGCAATGCATGATGGGAAGCCTTCAAGTACTGTAGTTTTGTTTCCTTGAGTTAACTCCCAGCTATAGATCAACTCAACTGCAGATCCAAAGGCCTCAAATCAGACAGCTAGTTTCAAAATTCTAAAACTATCTATAAACAAAAAAAATGATATTTTTAGGTGTAATTAACATAAATTTAACAAAGCTTCTGTATTTACATTCACTCAACAAGAAAAGATGAGTTCATCCCACTAAATACCTGCCGAATGTTTTACAGTGTAGAAAATACTGTAAATGACAGGATTTCAAAAATGCAGAAATTATTATCATATGTATTTTCTAAAATGGTCAAATGACTATCCGTCTGTAGAAGGGTTCGCAATCCGCTTGTGTTTCTAGCCTTTTTGTTTTTGTTTTTCTGGTTTGCAACTTCACCGATGTTTTTCTGCAGCAGCAGGCAGCTGTCAGAGTTGAGATAAACCCACAGCACACGTCTCATCTCAGCACAGTGGAGCTTTTAGCTTTTAAAGTTCCACATATTTCCCTCGAAACTAAAAGGGAAAGTGAATGCTGGACTTACTTCGTCCAAAAACATGACCTCAAATGAAACCGAGTGTTGCGTCTTGGATTCCGTGTCCACGTGTCTGCAGGGGTTGGTCCTGTTTGGGATACAGATCTGTGCTGAGTCTGTTGCATATACACCAGAAAAAGTAAACTTGGCTCTTGTCTTTGGTCTTTTTATTGGGCTTCAAGAAGAGTCACGAGTCTGGTCAGTTTGAACTGTTGTTTTATTATGAGTATAAAAGATGAGTAGAAAAGTGCTCTCAGTTGTAATTAATTAGGCCTTTAGCTGCGAAATAAGTTTCAAAATTGCCTCAGTCATGGATCCTGAGAGACCTGAGAAATTTCCCTTCTTTTCTCTTCTTGTGGTATCATTATTTTTCATCTCTCTGCTGTGCCGCTTTCTCTCAAGTAGGTGCCAAATATTGCATAAGCGTTGCAGCTCTATCTGTAACACTTGTAATGTTTGAGCAGAGCTATTACTAAACATTTACATAACACAGACCAATGTTTGAAGGCGCAAAAAGGCATTACTTGAACAGATAGATGAAGACGTCACGGGTTGCAGATTCCGTGTCTGCAAAGTGCTAAGAGGGAGAGACGGTTGCAGACGGAATAAATAGCTGTAATTAGCAGTTGCAGCGAAGTTGATTGAAAAAATAAAGGAGAAATGAGGGCAAAGGAAGCGGCTCTACAGGCAAGAAAAACCTTTTGTGGCATTTACAAAGCTGTGCTCAGCCTCCAAAAAAAAAAGTGCAGAGGTGGAAGAAGTCCTCGGGAAAAAGGTATCATTTGGGAGTTGTGTGGACTCCAGCCTCCTCCTCTCAGAATGCATCAGCACCATAAATCTACAAAAAAAAAAAAAACGTGTCTGAAATGTAGCGCTGCGCTCTCAAAAGCCGCTCATTTGGTCTTTGAGATTCATGAGCAAACAAGCCGACAGAAGCTCAGGGATATTTTTCTCCCCCGCTCTGAGATCCCTACATACAAATATCTCAAGGTTTGTATCCTATAAGTGTACACACCCTTTTGATGATTCAGAGAAGTGAGGCCTTTGTATCGTTGTACCGGGGTACGTCAAAGCTACCCCGGCGTGTTCGCTTCCAACAAGCTGCTTTTTTTTTTTTTTTTGCTTTGATGAGAGACATCATCTGGCGAGTGGTAAACACGTGATTAGAATTCATTTCCGAGCCACATTATCTGATTTGTCACAGATAATAGTTGTGTTTGTTTTGCGCTGAAAGTTTGTGAGAAAATTTGTCTCATTACAATTTGCTCAGTTAACCGCAAGTGCTGTGCGATTTAAAAAAGCAGATGCGCTTGGAGATTTTCCTGCTAAGATCTTTTTTTTTACCAGTTTCAACCAGTCAGTTGCAGAAGAAAAAAAAAAAAATCCTCTGTGACTTCTTGTCATCGCCGCATACATCTCCATCACTTCAAACCTCCGTCTCCCTCCTCCTATTATACTGTTCATTATTTGGGAGCAGCAGATATCCGATTACGATTCCTGGAATACATTAGTCAGATAATATATGCCACATCTGACTGTGTTTAAAGTCTCAGAGCTGCAGTGCGCTATCTTGGTGGAGGTACGTTTAAATGACTGCATTAAAAGTAGTCTTTTAGTGGGGAAAAAAAAAAGGCGGGGGGGGGGTTTGGTCTTACAGTGCATTAACTGCACATCATCATTCAGAACAGCCTCCTTCTTCTCTTTTATTCTTTGAACAAGTTCAGTTGTAAGGTGTCCTTTAAAGCCACATGTTAACCGAAAAGGTCAGCTGTCTGCGCTGATTCTGTCTGCTTCAGCGAACGGGTAAAAAACCTTTTTATTCATCCGACTGGACGTACAGCGAGCCATGTCTGAGCGCTAATTTAGTCCCAGCGGCGTTGTATTACTACCTGTTCTGTGGAGATGAAGGCAGGAACCAAATTGTGGCTCCATTTCTTGGACGAAGAGTTAAAGAGCCCGTATTATGCTTTTTTTGGGGAGTGGTTCCTTGTCAATTTGTGTGTTTTTGTTCATGTAAAAGGTCTGCAAATCTACAACGCAGACCCACACAATGCACTGTTTTATATCTGCCTGAAATGTCTCGTTTGGAGTCGAGGCTCTTCTTCTGTTACTTATTGACATCATCATGTGACACATTTGCATAACGTCTGCATAACAGCTAGTTTGGATTCAGCTCAAACAAAGAACAAGCAGCTTCCTCACAGTCCACCATTGTTTCTTTGCTTGAGCCACTTTGACGAGAGCCTTAAATTCAGAGATCTGGGTTTATCACATGTAACCCAGTTTGTCTGGCCGACTGACCAATCCCAGGAGGGAGGCCTTAAAGAGACGGGAGGGCGTTTTTTGACCATTAAAGCATATAAAGATATTCTAGTGCTAGTCAAAAATTAAAATTACAACCCTGTAAATAATCGTAATATGAACTCTTTAAGATTTTTTTTTCTTATTTGTCACTTGTTTTGCAAGAACAGCTTGATTAACCCTTGAATAATATCACAATGTAAATCATTTTTAAAGCTGATATTTTCACATCTTAACAGAAATGTTAAAAAAGAGACATATCCAGGCCTCCAGTAAGATGGGTGCTGGATAAAAAAAACATCCAGAGAGAAGAGTTTTAGTTGCTGGCAGACAAAAAAAAGAAGCTTAACAGGAGCTTTGCACCCTAAAACATCTTTAATACATTTGTTCAAACAGTCCTCTCTAAGTGTCTGGACGCAACAATTCTCACTTATTTGATTTGCTACCGACAATTCTGATGTGTTGGCAGAAAGTCCTAATGCCTAATACATCACAAGGTGTTATTGAATTAGAGAAAACCTTCCTATTTTTCATAATTGCACGTTCAACGCTTTTAGATGTTTCATGCAGCAAGAGGATTTCCATGTGTTTCCCATCATTCGGCCTGTTATAATGCAGTACGAGTGTGTGCAGCCAGCTGTGAAGGAACGCCGTTATGTGACTACAAAAATGAAGCATAGCTCAGAAGCAGGGTGCTGATTTCATGTGTAACTGTAACACCTGTCTCTCCTGTGTTTTTGTTGTTGTTGTTGTTTTTCAGGTGTACCAGTACATGCATGAAACAATTACAGTGAATGGCTGTCCAGAGTACCAGGCGAGGGCCACAGCTAAGGTAAGAGCTGGAGACTGGAGGCTTGGCTGGTTATTTGCAAGCAAAACATCATATATCATTAATGAGCATTGTAACAAATAAGCGGAGTTAATCACATTATCCCATGATAGCATTCTCATTATTTCTTCTGGCCAAAGCAGAATGAAATTAGCAAAGTATCCTCTTTGCTAATTTGATGATCCTCATTAAGAGTGTACGTGTAAAAGAAGTTCAAAAGAAAATATGGTCCATAGAC